GGGGTACCCAAAAAACTTGATCCGGGGAATTGGAGAATTTCGAAAACCCCATAGGGGGGAATCCAAAACTTGTATTATCGAGAAAAAAAATTTGAGGTGGGGGGTGGGTGAAAGTGGGAGGGGTAATCCAAAAATTTGATCCAAGGTGATCATAAGAAATTCAAAACCCCCATAGGGGGGAATCCAAAACTTGTATTATCGAGAAATTTTTGGGATTGGGGGGTGAAAGTGGGAGGGGGAACCTTAAAAATTTGATCTGAGGAGATGGAGAATTTCGAAAAACCCATAGGGGGGATCCAAAAACTTGGTAATATTGAGAAATTTTGGGATGGGGGTGAAAGTGAGAGGGGGAACCTCAAAAAATTTGATCCGAGGAGATGGAGAAACCCCCATAGGGGGGAATGCAAAAACTTGGTAATATTGAGAAATTTTTTGGGGATGGGGGGTGGAAGGAGGGGCAATCCAAAAAACCTTGATCCAAGGAGATGGAGAATTTGATTTCGAGAAATTGTTTGGGGATGGGGGTGAAAGGAGGGGTACCCAAAAAATTTGATCTGAGGAGATGGAGAATTTCGAAAAACCCCATAGGGGGGAATCCAAAAACCTTGATCCGAGGAGATGGAGACTTTCGAAACCCCCATAGGGGGGAATCCAAAAACTTGTATTATCGAGAAATTTTGGGGTGAAAGTGAGAGGGGGAACCTTAAAAACTTGATCCGAGGAGATCATAAGAAAAAAAAAATTCGAGGCGCGGGGGCGATCCGGACGACGCTGCAGAAGGCGCAGCAGAAGGCGCGGGCGGGCGCGCGGGGTGGGGCGGGGCGCGCGGGGCGCGCGGGGCGGCGGGGCGGGGCGCGCGGGTGCGCGGGGCGCGCGGGCGGCGGGGCGGGGCGCGCGGGCGGGGCGCGCGGGCGGGCGCGCGGCGCTACGGCGGGGTCGCGAAGGGGGGGGGGTCGTGGGGGTGGGGGTATTGGTTGGGGGGTCAAGGGTGAGGTAGTCTCGAGGGCGAGGTCATGGTCAAAACCGGAAGTAACACCTAGGTGTGAAAAGGTGACCCTCCAGCTGCTGGTCCTAGACCGGAAGGGACCTCCCTGTAGAAGGCCTAAACCGGAAGGGACCCTCCAGCCGCATGCCTTTTTCCGGAAGGGACCCCCCAGCCGCATTTTACACTACTTGAATCTTATAAGATTAAATAAATGGCAGGTCATTACAATATGATGGTCGTGGAAGTAATGGTAGTAGTGATGGTGAAAATAGGAGATGGGGGTAATGGTAGTAGTGATGGTGGCCGTGGTTGTGGTAGTACTGGTAGTAGTGGAGGTGGTGGTGATAATGATAGTGGAGGTAAGTGACGATGGTGCCAAGCAGTTGGATGGGTGACCATGGGAGGTTTGCTACCTCATCCTTTCCAATATCCTGGCAGATCTCCAACTCTCCAAGCTACACCTTCGTCACCAAATTCTGAGACCAATTTCCAAGAACAACATTCAAATTCCACCTCCTCCGTCCCTGGGCGGTGGCTGTGAGCGAGGTGAAGTGAGACGGACAGGACAGGTGCGGGGTTGGGCTTAGGTTTTTTAACAAAATTAAATATATCAGCAGTATGTTGCCACTCTACTCTACCTGCGCAGGAGGAGGATTAAGGCGTCAGTTAGGAAGACAGACTGGCAGGGAAGAAGGCCGGCGCACTATGCAGATCATTAATAAAAGGCACAATACCGTGACTGGAACAATACACAAAAAACCCATTTCGGTCCCACTTGGACTAGTTGTGACTAGTTAATGATCCAAGTCGGACCAAAACATCGTTATGAGTTTCTTTCTCCTATGTGCGGGTTATTTGTGGTGTCCTCCCTGTATGGTCGGCTCTGGTAAAGGGACTCATGCTGGACAAGTTGGCCGCTATGACCATCCTTATATGTTCTCGGTGAAGCTGTACGCTGCGGATGTACCTAAAAAGTATAGGTAAACATACAGAGCTTGCTTGCTCTGTATGGATGCTTATGCTTCAGTCCAAACGGACAGATTTCCTCCACAGACAAGAACGATATTTTAATATCAATCCATAAAGAGGAGTAGGATATAAATGTTGAGGCCTCACCGTGTCAGAGGCGAGCCACTGGGCCACTGCGTCCACTTCCCTCTGGAGGATGGGTGAGTCTGCGTCGCGGATCATGTAGTGTTCCACTAGGGCGTCACCCATCACAGCGAATCTCCACACTCGCCCCGTCGACCCGCTCACGTTACCCAATACTGTGGGACGAGAGGCAGTGACAGAATGTGAGAGGTTAGTTAGTTAACATGTTTATTATGCACCCCATACATACCCATCCTGTGGGCGAGGAAAGAACAGATTGTGAGAGGGAAGGACAATGTGAGAGGGAAGGACAGAATGTGAGAGGGAAGGACAGAATGTGAGAGGGAAGGACAGAGTGTAAGATTATTATTATTATTATTATTATTATAATCAAAAAGAAGCGCTAAGCCACAAGGACTATACAGCGACAGAGTGTAAGAGAGAAATAGATAATTATCTAATTATCATATTAGAATATGAGGGACGGACAGATCATGAAAGGGAACGACAAAATAAGAGACTAGGGTCAGCGTGAGGGGAGGGACATATTAGGACGAGAATATGAGAAAGAGGGATATAATATGAGAGGGACTGATATAATATAAGGAGGGACAGAATATGGGGTGTGAAAGTCAGTACTTAAATGACTGTTAGAGAAAAAGGGGCATGGAACCTGAGTGACTTAGAAAAGTATCAGATCTGAGAGGGAAAAAGTTAAGGAAACATCTATCGATAAAATAGATCCATCAAGAAAAAGGCACCAAATAATATGGGGAATAAAAGTTCCAGCTAAGCTCTGGATTTTATATAATAATACTGAAAGTAGTACGAGAGATTCTCTGGGATGCAGATCAATATGTATCTATACATGCTATATAAAACTATCCAGTGATTATGACATTTCATATGCCATAGTCAAAGGCAAATGCTCGATTCGAAATTAATATATTTGGAAAAAAAAGTCTGATATGCTTTTTTTTTTTTTTTTCTTTTTTTTTTTTTTTTGCTTAGATCAAAATTGTTTTCATCAAGATCGCGAAAATGAATTTTATATTCACCCAATTACAAAGATTTTTTTATTATAGGTTTATTGTTATAAAAACTGATGAACACAAGTTCAATTAGAAGTTCGTGATTTATAAAAGCAAAAATTGTTTTTACTTGGACATCTTAATGTAAGGAAAGTTTACCATCACTCACAGCTGTGGTTACACTATTGTCAATGGGTTTACGTGCACGTTCACTCGTTAGTGTTAAATGCCTCACTTTCACGTTCGCTCACTAATGTTAATATCTCTTGAGCACCTCCACAGTTAACTAGTTCGTCGAACGGTCGCTCGCTAGTATTGTTGTTCACCATACTTTCGATCGCTAGTGTTAACCAGCTCTAGCGTACGTTCGTTTACAAGTGTTAATCAGTTCTTGCGCATGTTCACTTGTTTACTATTCATTTTCTCTCGCCACACTCTCGCTTTCTAATCAGTTCTCGGGCACGTTCCCTCGCTAGTATTTGTCTCTGAGCCGCGAGGTCACTCACTGTTAGACTAGGCATTCGCAAAACCTAGCTAATATTAGTCAGCTGTCTCTCACGTTCGCTTATGTTCTTTCTCGCCGTAAATTTGCTTGCTGGCATTCTCTCGTTGCACGTTCGCTCGCTAATGCCAGTTAACTTTCACTAGTGTTAACTCCCGTCACACGTGCAAACTCTTGGGTATCTTTATTGAGGAAACGTTTCGCCACACAGTGGCTTCATCAGTCCATACAAAGGAGAATCTTGAAGAACAGGAGGAGAATGAGGTAATCAGTCCCTCAACCTTGAGTCGATGTGGTCAGTCCATCAATCTTGAATAGAATACGGCATACGTGCTGAGAAGGAGCTTATAAAACCGTTGGCAGGAGAGGTGCAGAAGTCATAGGTCGTGTAACATTTGTTCAATGTTGAAGTAGGTCGTGCCCAAGAATTAGGCAAGCGAAGAATTCCCAAGTAGTAAGATCCCAAGAAGTTGCAGTGTCTGACAGGTTTGTAGATGAATGGTTCAGAGAACCGACATGTTGAGAACCGACATGTTATCAACATGTCGGTTCTCTGAACCATTCATCTACAAATCCCGTCACACGTTTAATAGCTAGTATTAACCCTTGCCACACGTTTGATAACTATTGTTAACCCTCGCCACACGTTTGATAGCTATTTTTAACCCTCGCCACACGTTTGATAACTATTGTTAACCCTCGCCACACGTTTGATAGCTATTTTTAACCCTCGCCACACGTTTGATAACTATTGTTAGCCCTCGCCACACGTTTGATAACTATTGTTAACCCTCGCCACGTTTGATAGCTATTTTTAACCCTCGCCACACGTTTGATAACTATTGTTAGCCCTCGCCACACGTTTAATAACTATTGTTAACCCTCGCCACACGTTTGATAGTTATTTTTAACCCTCGCCACACGTTTGATAACTATTGTTAGCCCTCGCCACACGTTTGATAACTATTGTTAGCCCTCGCCACACGTTTGATAGCTATTGTTAACCCTCGCCACACGTTTGATAGTTATTGTTAATCCTCGCCACACGTTTGATAGCTATTGTTAACCCTCGCCACACGTTCCATAATGTTAACCCTCGCCACACGTTTGATAGCTATTGTTAATCCTCGCCACACGTTTGATAGCTATTGTTAACCCTCGCCACACGTTCCATAATGTTAACCCTCGCCACACGTTTGCTTCCTAAACTTTGCATTAGTCGCACGCTCATCTGATAATATTAATCAGCTCTCGCTTTAGTCTAACTTGAAATGCACATACATATTACAAAAGAATGCTAATATGTCCACAAAACAATAATTTTTAGACAAAAATTCTGGACACATCGCTATGGGAATTCTACAAATATGTTCGCCTTATGCCAGAGTCAAGCTTACGCAAACAATGCAAAACAAAATAGAATTTTTTTTCAACGAATTACATACCCTCTGTACACATGGCAGTGCTATATTGAGTAATTAATTATAATAATTTTCTTAAATATCACCAAGAAATTTTCCCGTGCCGGGAATCGAACCCGGGCCTCGCGGGTGAGAGCCGCGTATCCTAGCCACTAGACAACACGGGATTACATTTTCACACAATGCATAAGCTTTTACCTAAAATATATACAGCACCCTAGATGCTCCTGCCTACTTACCAGTAAAAATAAATACGTACCCGTGTGTTAGCCAACTGTTGCGGGTCGCACCCATGGATTCATTTACTCCAGTGCGCTTACAAAGCATCAGTTACATACTTCTTTTACTTTGTGCTGACCGAACAATAAGTTTATTATACAACCGCATCTCATCGGGTATAGTTGTCTTAAGATAATAGTCATTTTATATATAGCAGTGTCATCATAATAATCTATTCAGAGTTAAATTTTGCCACCATAACGGCTACTTTTTTGTGCTCCCTATATCCATCCTGTGGACGGTAGCGCAAGACAATATGGATACACTAAAGGCCTTGAAACTAGGCCCTAAAAGGGTTTACAGGAGCACATCTGGACTTATATCTACAGACTACAGTGGCTTATCTGTTACAAGCAGATTTAGGAGATTTGCTTAATATATCTGGTATATTATTTTCATTAATAATATATCTTGACATATCACATAGTTATTATACTATCTCTATATTCCTCTTGTGAGTTCATTACCTTTGTAAATTGTGAATTCATTATCTCTGTAACTTGCTCAGCTATCAAAACTTTGAGGCCCAGTCCCTGGACCCATTATGTACCTCTGTAATCTTTTGACTACCGCCCACTGGATGGGTATGGGGTGCATAATAAACATATTAAACTAAACTAAAACGATGGTGACCACAGAGCTGGCCACAGCATTTGGCTTGATCATCATTTGTGTGTCTGCCAAACTGCCAGAAGTACTTGTAACCAAACCTAAGTCTGACCACTTCAACATTAGTCAGTCTATTCACATTGTAAGTCTCTCCACAAACGTACTTATCTATGCTCATGTTATTATAGTGGGTTATTCAGTGCAACATCGGGATCCAATCTCATTTTTTTAATATTTAATCATGGCCACAGGAAACGTTTACCACGTTGCAGTCTCATAATATAACAAACACCTCATTCACCTAGTCAGTACGAAGTGTAGATACAGTCTAAAGATTTCACTTATTTTATCACTAATATTTTTTGTAATGTCTGTTTGGGCTTGTCTCTACGGGGTTGGATTTTTGGATAGTCTCTGTCAATGCACCTTGCATTTAATGTGACTAGTATCTTCATTTAAACTGTACTGTTAAAGCTACGTATAGCCCTAGCATAGCCCTAGCATAGCACTAGCATAGCCCTAGCATAGTCTACTGATTTTATGACTGTCTACGGGCACGTTTTACTAGACACATTTCATTATGATGGGCAAAGGTTCGGCTAGTTCCTATTCTTCATTCTTCAAACCCGTTTACAAATTCATTAAAGATGTTTGGAAACTCCAGAACATATTCAACACTTTCTTTAATTCTAGTTTAACCAAGGCATCGCCTTATGCATGCTCCCAGAGGCCTGTAAGATCAGCTTTATTATGGACAATTTACAAATATTTCACAAACAGTAGTATAAGTTTGTACAGTGATCCTGTGTATAACAGGAAATCCACAACAGTTTAACTATAATCCCTATTAGTAATATATGTGTTTGGCTTCAAACACAAACAGGTTAGTCAAATTTCAGGCTATTTTAGAAATCTAAGGAGGCAAGGGAGATTGGCTGACATAAATACAGTTCAGTTTAAGGCATTTTCAATATCTTTAAATTTAGTTTCAGGGAAGACTAGTTTATCTTGATATATGCAAGACCCATTCCACTCAAGAATTACATAAAAACTCCTTGGAAAATATTGGATTCTTCCTAAGAGCTCACTAACACAAGCACTTATCTGGTGGTGAATTCAGTTACTCATAAGCTGCGGTTGTCTCGCAATTAACTAACGAAGGTTCGAACCTTCACCACTCTTCTGCTGGAAGGAAACCCGCTACCGAGCTAAATAGTACAATGCTCCACCGCATATATCTTTTTTACCCTACTGAGGTTCCCAGCTTAGGTTGACAGCTTCATTCTTTCATTTTATTTTCTCTTCCTAGAACGGTTAGTTTATGGCGCACCCCATGCTAGCTAGATCTGTGAAAGGTAGCGTAAAAAGACAATATTACTGAGGTCACACTGGGTCATTATTACATATCATGGTGTATAATTATATCTCTTAAATACTACAGTTATTTCGTATATTAGTCTCGTCATATATTTAAATGTCACGTAATGTAATATGTGGCTATACTCGAATTTCAAATACTTCGTCAGTACTAAAAATAAAGTATAATTTTCTCCATTAAAATTTTGTGGAAAATACTGTATATATTTTCCAGAAATACAGTAGTTATATGTAAATAGATGGCCATACTGTGTTTAATAATATTTATGTCATAAAAAAATGGGAAATTTTCTGCACCTGCACAGAAGGACACTCGCCATTTTGCTTGAATTGGACACTAACGGTAGTGTATAATGGGAAGAATTGTTCGTGCTCTAGAGGTTAAAATTGGGTTGACACCTCTCAAATAGGAGGCAAAATTGTTGGATGTGCATTTCTGCATAACTTGAAATATCAGGCGACTGGACAAGACAGCTCCAGGAACCTCAGATAAGCTATTTAGATTTATGCTATAATTCTGGCCAGTATTTTCATAAATTTAGTTAATGAGGTTTTCTGAGTATGATACAACTTGGTCTCCAGTCAAATTGGTGAGTTATTTTAAGATATTCTCCTTCTGTTATGTAAATGTGTATATATATATAATAATTTTTTAATTTAATATACAGTCCCCAAATTTATATATTTACCAGCATTCCTGGTGATGTATCTTTCATTTATAATTAATAGGTCCAGAGCAACTTGTGGATATAAACAGTGGTAGGTATCGAAGGGGGACATTTTTTGTGACCTAGGTGTCCCAAATTCCTACTTCAAATTCAAATTCAAAGTTTATTCTCTATAAGGATTACAATGCTGAGTTTACAGAATTTGGTTATTGTGTAGTTTACATGTAGTAAAATAATAATACAGAGTGTACCACTAGAACACCTAGCATGGCTAGGCATTTCGGGCAGACTTTGATTAAATCTTAAGTTTAAAATATTACAAAATTATGAGGTAAGTTGGTATTATGGCTAAGTGACTAAATACTTGTTTGTGAGTTTAGCAATGTGAATGCTTTTGTTTTGGCACTATACATAGTTTCAGTATTGGAGGGATCACAGGCCAACTTATGACTAGTTATGATTCATTATTTTGA